GCACACACACACACACACACACACACACACACACACACACCAATCATCTAGGCCCCCGAAGACGAGAGCATTCGTCTCAAGTTTGACAGCTTTAAAATCGCCGGCTCAAGTGGCAACTGCGAAGACACTTTGGAAATTCGATATTTTCGCCCCGGGCAGGGAGGTTTCATGTAAGCTTTCACAACTTTTTTTTTTTTTTCATTTCCACCTTTTTCTCAATGCCGACTTGTTTTCTTTGAAAATTCAAAAATAAATGTATAGAATGTGTCTCTTCATGTTGACATAATAATGCTTCATTTATTTGTGAGTTGAGTAAAAAGATTGGAATCTGAAACAACTTTCCTTGTTTCTCAAAATTTCAAGGGTAGAGACTTGTTGTAAATTTAGAATATTACTTTCAGGCTTCCATCAACACATTTCAAATCATACAGGGGGCGGGCTGCTCTGGTCTCTCACATCGAGACTAACAATGAATGTGTGGAATGGATGTGGTGTTGCTAGTCTAGTGGTTAGGTTACCAGACTCATAAACGTGAGGTTGCGCGTTCTGAGGTTCTAGGCTTAGGCCCGACGTTGTTTCGTCGGGAAAGGCACTTTATACGGATTTCCCCTCACTTCACTCAAATGTGAAAGGGGTATTTGGCCAAAGGCAGCAAAATATCAGTATGTAAGTGTTTCAGCGCCTATAAAATGGCTGCTTGCACAGGAAGTTGATATTGTTTCAGAAAGCAATCAAGTCTACTTTGGGTATTTTTGAAACATAGATTGTAAAGTGCATAGAGCGCTATACAAATGCTATTTCTGATGATGATGATGATGATGATGATGATGATGATGATGATGATGGTGATGTAGGAAAAAATAAATTGTATCGAGTATCTCGGTCTGTATGCCAGGGCAATGTAACTTTCTTAGCGTGGGTTGGCAGGCGCAAAGCCCACCTCTTTAATGATCTTAATTTATGCTGCTGGGGGCATAGAACACTCTACATTAATAGCTTAGCGATTACACCACAGACATTACTAAATATAACACACACATACCCCCCCCCC